ATGATCATTAAATATACTATTATTATGGAACAAACCAGTTCAAGCGTGAAATAATGCAGACATTAGGACACCCGCTCAGTTGTAGTTCCGAAATTAAATCAGCAGATGCCGCCATTCTAAACTGCTTCAAATGTGTCGAGTTTTGGCCAATTTTGTCAAATTGGTTCATTTATTTACAGGGCTTCGAAATTGCCTTAAACTGTATCTTAAGGAAAGCAGATTAAAACTGTTATATGATGTTTGCAATGATTTGATCAATATTGAAAAGAAATTATAGACTCAGTTATCTTCTGTGTCTATATTATACAGATCTCTCCATGTCATGCGGTTACAGAAAAGTTTATCATATTCCTGTAAGATTAAACTACAATTAGTAATTTCCTTGAACTGAGAAGTTGACCTTTTAAAAACAGAGGCACACCCTGGAATGCAGATTCTGGCAAACATGACATGGAGATGTACATGACATGGACATGGAAGATGTAACAGGGATTTTATGTGTCATAATATGCCATAGATGACGTTTATATTAAACATTTTAAGTGACTTTTTCATATGAGAAGTTGACACCATGTTATGTGGCAAAAATTGTTTCTCAATTTCTTTTTACTGACTCTTGGTAAGGAGTTCATTATGGCATGGGGATTAGGATTTTCTCATCACATCTGCAAAGTGCTTTTGCAACCTCTGCAACGTTTTTGCAAATTTGCTAACCATGATGAAGAATGAAACTTAAGATCTGGTTTAGTCAGGTGGAGTCTAACATGTGACAAGTGACATGAAGAGTATTTAAAACATTTGGGATTTGGTTTGTCATTAGGTTGATTATCATCTGTACCTTGGCTCGTCTTTCATTCAACCAGCAGGTACGATCAGACACTGAACAACTAAGATTTTTACATAACATTGGGTAGAGAAGCAGAACATATTGATTGAAGATGCTGTTTATATAATTTTATTTATCCTAATAATGTGTTTTAATTTCAGCAAACATGGCTGTGAGACCCACCACAGGAGTGATTCTGCTCATCACTCTGCTGAGTTTGATTAACCTCTCAAATTCACTGACTTATCAGGCTCATCTGGTAATCTAGCAGATTAACTTTCATAATTTATTAATTTTATAATAGAAAGATTTAATGTTTTTCTGAAAGTTCAAAGTGAATTTTTTTTCCCATCATAAAACGATAATTGAAAATTTCACTTAGTGTTCTCCATAGTGAGGTAAAAAATAACTTCCTATTATTTTTTTTAAGGACATTCTACAAGATTACCTCCAAGGTGGAATAGAAGAGGCAGCCCAAAAGAAGGTGGTTTGTTGAATATTGTTTGTATAATTTATTCATCATAACGTTTTTATATATATTTAGTGCAGCGAAGATTTCTCACTGAATACTGGGGAGGCTAAACTTATCATAGTCATAAAATAGTTTGTCAAATATGCAGTATTTAATTTAGTAAATGTAATCATTAAAGTGCGCAATGATCAACTATCTGAGCCTGCCGTGAGACGCTATCTCCCCTCTGCTATGAAACAGCAAGATGCTGCCTCTTAGTCTAGAGCCAGGGCCTCAATGCATTGGAGCAACCACTGAGAAAGTAGAGCCCTGATTGGATAACACACAAAATTCCATCACTTCAACAGAGGCTAAGCCTTTTGAAGGTCTATGGAGCAGGTGGTGAGGCTGCTTGATGCTGATTGGCAGAACAAGCTATCACTTGACTGATACTGGCAAAACAGAGCGGAGGATTTCCTCTTGAGACTTAGACAGAGGAAAAAGCAATCATTCATTCAGAACTGCTGATTTGTGCTGAACTCTTGCCATGGTTTCTGGAGTAAATTATTTAAGAGTGCTTCACAACAGCTATTTTCACCCGTTGTAATAATGTGTTTTATTTGTTTCAACATTTGTTAATGCAATAACCTACTGTAGGATTTAATTAACACCATTGAGCCACCAGTTTCTTGTCTTAATCAAATAATTTCTGTCTTATGAAATGTATTTTTCCTAGGCAAAAATCATGCATGTACTTGCATGGATGGCAAACTATCATGAGGAACAAATTGAGAAACTCTATCCCATCCTGCAGCAACTGAAAACTGCATCGAGCGGTATACCATAGGGTGACCAAACGTCCGTATTTCCCGGGACATATCCGTATTTCACGTCCTGTCCCGGGCGTCCCGGGTTTTTTTTAGAAAGTGAGGAAATGTCCTGATTTCACTGCGCACGACGCTCCGTGTGACGTAATCCCTGAGCCGCGTGGCAGCCCTGTTCTTAATCAGAGGCTCTGTTCGAAAACCTGGGCTGCATCCTCCAAGGACGCGGTCTACCTAGACTGGATCCTTCGAAGTCCTTGAAAATAAGGAGGCCGGAAGAGTTTTGGCTGTGAATTCGACCAGGTCCACCCTTCGACGGGTTTTACTGGCGTATGCTCTGTTGCTTAGCAACCGTGAAAGTTGACACACAAAGCAGGAAAAGAATGAATACAGAGGTTTTCAAAACTATTTGTTTATTTATTTATTTTTTAAAAAGTTAAAGTGAACAAAGACTCACAAGAATCCAGAGTGGAATAAAGGTTCCAACCACCGGGAGCAGGAACAAATCAAATCAAATATAATGATAGAAACCTTAGTCAGTTAAATAACCTGCTGCTGTCATTCTGCACATCTCTGATGTTGGTGCTATTTTCAAATATCCTTTACTGTAAAAATGTCCATAGCTGCATATTGGTTATTTATTCTCCAGTTTTATATTGTTAAAACACTTTACAGAATTTTATTTTGTATATTTTAACTCTTCCCTATTGTGTTATTCTTATACATTTTTCTAAGGTCCTCATTTGTGTGACCAATTTCAATAATCTTTCTGCTGCTGTAAATTTGCCCATTGTGGGACAATAAAGGGATTTTTCTATTCTATTCTATAAAAGGGTTAGAAATATATAAGTAAATCTAAACAATGTATCTACAAAATATATCTGCAAAATCTCTAATATTCAACAACAAAAAATACTTAGTTAAGCATATTGTGCAAAACAACAATAAAAAAATTAAACTCCTATCAGATTTATAGTTCCCACTCTGCAGATCTATTAGAATCTGTCCTTAAATTCCAGCCAAACCCATTTACAAAGTAACAGATTAAAACCTTTAGATAAATCAAACATTACTGCCACATATCTGACTCAATAACCATTAAAACAACTATTTTCATCCCCCCCCCCCCCCCCCCCCCCCCCCCCCCCCACCGCCCACCCACCGCTCCAAGGTGTCCTGGTTTTCCCAAATGAAAATATGGTAACCCTAGTATACCAACACTTCAAGAACTTGGAAATGTGATCTCAAACTTTGTAGAAAAGGGAAGGACAAACTTAGCAGGGGCAATTGAAGATATTGAAGGGAATATTGAGGAAGTTTGGGCTTTCATAGAGCTCCAAGAATATGGTCATGATGAGATGTAGTTTAATTACAGCTGGTTGATGTTTGTGACATTTTTATTGTGTTCTTTTTCTTTTACATTCTTTTTAATCAAAGTGATAATTGGTGAATTGACAAATGCTTCAGTGTAAAAAATATATATATTATGTTAAAGTATAAGTAAGTAAGTAAGTAAGTAAACTTTATTTCTATAGCACTTTTCACAGACCAGGGTCACAAAGTATGATGATTAAGTTGCTTTTGGCTAATAATTCTGTTCATGATTAAACTTTGTCATTGAAGAAAATACAATAAATTGAGTGTGGATGATATGAATTTGTTAATTTTTTATACTGTTTTTTTCTGTGGCTGTTTGTAACATGTTATATAAATATAGTGTAGGATAGCTGTGTATAAGCATTTAGAAACTCAAAATTATTGTTTAGCATTTATTGTCAACCTAATGTAACCTATTTCTGCTGAAGAAATCATGATTGCCAGTCCATGTAACATATGCATAGCTACTACAGCGGCCCAGTGGAGTAGCTTCAATCAAAGGTGATACGCTGTTAGATGTCTACCTGATAAACTCCCTGCATACTTATAATAAAACAATTTATATGCATAAAACAAGCAGAACACTATGGCAATAGCCGTACTGCTCCATTTGTGAGAGTGAAATCTGTTGGGCGCTTTATGGATGTCACACCTGATCGGTTCATACTGGACAATCTGAGGATAGATAGACCCTGCATATATATATATATATATATATATATATATATATATATATATATATATATATATATATATATATATATATATATATATATATATATATATATATATACATATACATACAGTACAGACCAAAAGTTTGTACACGCTTTCTCATTCAGTTTTCTTCATTTTCATGACTATAAAAATTTAAGATTCACACTGAAGGCATCAAAACTATGAATTACCACATGTGGAATTATTTAATTAACAAAAACGTGTGAAACAACCGAAGATATGTGTTATATTTTAGGTTCTTTAAAGTAGCCACCTTTTGCTTTGATCACTGCTTCGAACACTCTTGCCCTTCTCTTGATGCTCATATTTCCACACCAAGTAAGCTTTATCCTGTCATCTTTTCAAGTAATGCACAAGGTGAACATGAGATACAGCACAAGAAATTATCCAGTAGTGAACGATGAAAATCAGAGATGCCATGTAATGAAGTGATGTGAAAAATGATTATGGAACACAGTGAGTCTTATTAAGCAGCTCTGACTACTGGAACTGAGGGAACTGAGGGCAGCTACTGTATTTAAGACATCTAACATACTGGGAATATAACTAAGACAAAGTGATTTAGAAATCAAAGAGAGAAAAAGCCTAAAATCCATACATAAGAGAATAAATCAAATTGCACCGATGAAAGTATTTAACTAAATTAAAAGAAATGAAGTAGTACCCTAATAACAATAATTAACTTGGAATTAACTAAATATGATAGGACCTTCAGAGATTAAAAGCATTGCTAAAAAGCGAACAGCTTTAAAAAAAAGAAAAACAAATATCTTTAGTCCCTGATGCCAATTGTCTTTCCACCAAGGTCTTAGGTCTTAGTGAATGGACTGTGCTGTCTTGGGAATGTTGCAATAATGTACTGTTTAAAGGTGCTGGAGAGAGGAAAACCTTAAGATCTCTGTACAGGTAGCCTAACTGATGAGTGGATGGAAAGAGGCAAATATTAAGTTATGCTATAGCTGAGATATCTTATATAAAAGCAGACTAAAACTAATATATTTCTTTAGGGTGTTGACAACAGTTTGATCATTAAGGGAAATAAATGATAGACATTGTTAACTTTCTGTGTCTCTCCTCCATGATATGCAGTTACAGAAGATGTTATTATAATCCTGTAAGGTGAAACTACAATTAGTAATTTCCTTGAACTGAGAAAGGTGTACAGACACTTTTAAAAACAGAGACACACCCTGGAATGGCATTTGCGTATTGCGTCAAATGTATTCATGTCTCAGTTAATTTAGATTAATAAATCTTTCTTGAACTACCCTTCGGGTATTTGGATGTCTACTTTTATATTGGCAGTTGTTTCAAGGTCAGGTCAAACAAACTACTTTTTCCAAGCTTTTGTGGAACCACACAAAAAAAACAAAAAACAAAAACATTCCTTATTTTACCCATCCAGCAATTTAGCTGGTCTTTTGTAGCCAAAAAGCTTAAAATCTAATTCAAAGATGTTGTACAGCTTCCTCCTGTCCTCCAGAGGCACTGCTTTAAACCAGTCCATGGCTAAGTTTGAGGTGGTCATATTTTTAAAAGGTGAAGGGAACTTAATATCGTTTTCCAGTTTAAAATGTTTTAAAAGCTCTTCAGCGTCTTCCTTAAGAGTTTCCTGATGGCCAATGAAGTCATACCTAAAAAGACAAAATAACCACTTTTTTTGGTCAACCTTTATTTAATAATGTTGGAGCTTTCTGCATAAGAAAAAACAAAATCTTACTCTATAAGGCAGGGGTGACACAGGCGATGCATTTGTCTCCAGTGAGGTTCAAAGGGCTCCTTTTTCTCTGTTTGTGGGTCCACCAGATACTGAACGAAGTTTTTAAAAGTGGGTAGCAGTCCCAATGCCTCTGCCTCTTTCATCGTTTGTGGTGGATTTTGCTGGTTGCCATATAGTTTCATCATAATTCTCCCATATTTCCTATAGAAGTACTCATTTTTCTGATTGTACAGAAATTTGGAACGGTAAGCAGAGATGAGACGAACAAACGGGTCGCGGACAAACATAAACTTGGTGTAGTTCATCAGCCTATTCTGTTAAAAAAAAAAAAAGGACAACATCTGCTGTCAAAAATGTACAAGGTAAAGGTACTGTATAGTAGAGGATTTCCACTTCCACATCTTTGAAAAGACCCGCCCTTTCCACTATAGAAAAAAATGTACCTAGTCCCGAGAGGGAAAGACTTTTAAACATGTACAAGAGGATACACGAGCCCATTTCTCCTCATGCACGCTCTGTTTAAAAGTTGCTTTTTGCAGCGCTCATGCAAGCTAACTTTCCAAAAGAAGACTTGCAAATTTTTCACTATATCAGACTCACCAACGGTAAAAGAAAATGGGGACGAGCACATAGACGGCCTTACATAAACATATCACCAGAATGATTGACAATGAGGAGGATGACTTATTTTGATGATCCACCGGGAAAATTAACATCCTCCACTATACCTTTAAGAAATGTATTTTCAGAGCAGATCTGACATCAGTGAGTTGACTGACCTTCCTCTCAGTTGAATTAAACTGTGTCAGGTATTGAAGTTTGCTGATGCGATGGACATTGATGGGATCAATGGATGCAGGGTCATCATAAGGCTTGCCTTTTTTCAATACAAACATAACTCTTTTCCAGTTCGAGCATGCTACCTGCAGAAATAAAAGTGAACCACACTATTTCATCAAAGTGCCTCATGATGCTGAACCCAAGAATTTATTGACTAAATATTCAAGAAATATGAGCAGAGTCAGCATATGTGAGACACTTATAAATGTCAACTAACAAAACTGGGACAATTTATAGGACGGGTTTAGTTTACCTTGGAAGTCAAAATAGACAACTTACATAATCAGCTCTTTTTAGGACTTTTTTACTTGCAGAAACGCTGGTGAAGATTATCAGTAATCCAGGTCATAGTCATTCCAAAAAAAGAAAATTAAAAACAATCCACTGGACTTTGTTTCCAAGTTTGAAGATGTTTCGCTTTTCATGCAAGAAGGCTTTTCAATTCAAAATGTCAGGAATATCGTTGAGTTCGAGCTTTTATACAGTAGCCCAACAAAGCCTTGTTTTTGTTTTGAAAACATGCAAATTGAAACGGACGAAGGGGTCTACCCCTTTGGAATAGGGGTTGTTTGGCTTCTTCTGTTAGCCTGCAATGCCCCACCCCATCTAAGTGTCTGAAAGTTTAGTTGTGAAAAGGAATTGTTGGCCTGGCTGAATAGGCGAGGTCCTCCATTCTCCTGTACAGTGTCTGGGGCTGCGATGATAGCGGGAAGTGATTAACCTAATTGCTGCACTGTAGGTTTTGAAAGCTGAAATCTGAGTCCACCCCCTCTGTTTAAGGTTATTTTTTCTTTCTTAACATAGATGGTTTCCTTCACACCCCTAAACCAACTATTTTTCTTTTTCCAAAATGTGAACATTCTGGTCCTCAAAAAAATTTCTTTGTTCATAATGTGTAGGTATACCGCAGAGCCTTGTCTCGAGGACAATTTGCATGTTTTCAAAACAAAACCAAGGCTTTGTTGGGCTACTGTATAAAACCTTGAACTCAAAGCTATTCCTGACATTTTGAATTGAAAAAGCTTCTTGCATGGGAAGCAAAACACCTTCAAACTTGGAAAAAAGTACAGTTGATTGTCTTTTTTTGGAATACCTGCAGAAAGTTACTAAAACAGTTGTTTTTTTATTGATTCACTAATTAATACAAGTGTAATTCTAAGACAATAAAAAACTAATAGTTACAAATGGGTTTGAGAAATTACTTTAAAAACTACTTGCAATTATTCACCTTCAAACATGGGAGATTTAAAAAAAAAATAAAACAAATGCTGACATGAGAAAGATTTGCTAATACCCAAGAATCAACATTTTGTTGTTGGCATCTGATGTGAAACTTCACATCTAGTGTGAAAAATATGCAGTTTGATGTTCTTAAAGATGTGCTATTGTGTGTCTTAAAGAAAAGCATAACAAAATCCCAAAACATCTGTAACGCCATAGCATAACACTTCAAAGCACATTGGTAAATGTTTAATTCAAATCAAAAGAACATTATCACTACAAACATTATGGTGTACTCAAGGAAGTATAAAAACTGACTATCTCTAAAACAATAGAGGAAACAGAAGAGACATTTTCAACATTCTCTGAATTCCATTGAAATATATAGAAATTAAAAAATGTAATATGATATAGGTAAAATTCTTGTTATTTCTGAACAATTTTTTTACTTTAAGCTTTGTTCAAAGGTGAATTTGTCTTTGTTAAATCACTGCTGATAAAAAGGTACAACTGAAATTAAATATATTTAAATTTAATGTCCTTAACTTCAGATTCTGTGATTAGATATTTAAATGCTTAACTTTTAGTAGGGTGTATTTGTTTTGTTACCTTTGGAATAAAACAGTAGATGATTTTTTGCCTTTCTTCAACAATGAAGTGATCATAGATGTTTTTTATCCTGGGTTTCTGTGCAGAAAGGGCCTTTTTTTCAATATCACACATCCGTCTTATATAATCCTTTCTTAGTTTTTGTAGCTGAGTTGTCTTCTGTCCTGTAATTAAAACAGAAACTTTAAAAACCTTTGAGACTAAACCTAACTTCCTGAGTAAAAAATAGATAATCAATATAATTTATTCCCTCCACAAAGCTTCTAATAGACGGTGAAAGAAGGCAGAAAAGGAAAAAATGAGAAACATGTATTAAATTAAACTTAGTCTCAGTTCTGTGTTTAATTTAGTTTTTGATGAAGAAAAAGTAATAGCCAAAGAGTTCGACAAAGCAAAGAGGGCATAGATTACAAAGAAGGATAAAGCAAAGCAGAAAAAGATATTGTATATAACATACCTGCAACTTGGGAAATGCCTTGTTGGGTAAAGAACAATCTAATAATAAACACAGTACCAAAAACAACAAGAAGAGCTAGATATTCCTTTTTAATCCTCATGTCTGGAATTTAAAAAGCATCTACCTTATGGAAATGAGGATAATAGAAGCACAATAATTTTAATTCCACACATATAAGCTTGATGATTTCATCTTTTCTTGTATAAAAACCTGTATCTGCACTTGCAGTAAGAAGCCTTGGCACAACCCCATACTTTGAATAAGTAGGTGTGTCTTAAATCCTCACCTTTTTGCATATACCCAAATGGAAGAGCAAATAACTAAGGAACTGCATCAGTTCAAACATGACTCAACGTTTTTTTTTTCCTTCTCCAAAATAATAGGGTTTTTTAAAGAGCAGTAACAAAGACATGCTTGAGAATAGGCATGTGTCATTTTTTTACATTTTGTAGTGGGAAAAAAGTATTCAACTATTCACCCTAGTTAAATAAACAGAGATTTATGATTTCACTTACAGTAGTCAGAACCTTATTTTCATATCTTTGCAAGGAGAGAACAGCCCTTATGGCACAGTATTAAGCCCTGTTTTGCCTGGGCAGCGTTCGATCCCCCTTACTTACAAAAATGGAAAGTAGTCACAGTTAAAACAAATTACAGATTGTAACATGTTATGAATTAACATTGAGAAAGACTTTGGTTTGCTTTAGGAAGAAGCTATTTCTGGTATAAAAACACCCTCATGTAGAGGATTGTGTGGCCTTGCAGGTAAAACAGACTGAGTGAAAACATTTATGGTGACTAAATGTCATGATTTTATCCAAGATCTGACCCACATTCAGGAAACCAAACAGAGAGACCAAGGGAAAGTTTAACAGGTTTATTGAGAACTGGTAGGGATGGATCCAGTGCTGCTCTGAACACTGGCGAACTGGGACTGAAAAGTGAAGGGGAAGTTCTTGTGGTTAGATCAGGCTCAGTGGGAAAATTGAGCTTCGATTTGCAAAAGGGAATAAAGGCAACGGAATTCACGTTTCCAGTAAAAGGTGTCTTTCTCTGAATCCAGTTGGTGTGGGTTATTCCAGTAATTGAGTTGCTCGTTGAAGGACGGACAGGGTTACCCAGGTTGAGGTGTTTCCTTGAGGAACGAAGGAGCTGACTGCCACTTAGATTTCAAATGGTACTTGAACCGTTTCTTGTGGAGATGAATCCCCTGCTCAGTGTGAAGCCCAAACAATCCTTGTGGAAAAGTTGATCCAAACCACCTGTTTCAATCCTCAGCTCAGTTTGACACTCAGACAAACCTTCCAGGGGGAGAAGGTCCAAAACATCCAGTTTGCAGGATGACTTCCTGCCAAGAGGCAAAGACAAAAAGAACAATGTTAAGACTCAGGTTGACAAAAACTCAGCTTGACACAGCAAAACTCAGCTTGGCTAGAGTACCCAAAACTGGCAAACACTCTGGCCTCGAGGTAGTGGCAGTCAGCAGTTTAAGAGTCCTCCGGTAATGAGGCAACCATCTGCAGGTGTGTGAGAAGGCCAACGAGAACTAGGCGCCACCTGGTGGTGGAGGGAAAACAAACAAAAAACACAACCCACACAAACTGGATTCCTAACACTAAATAGGATAAGTTAATATATGAAATGAGATAAATTTAAATTTTCTGAACACAATTTATTCTGCTTATGTCAGTAACTGCAGAAAATTTCAGACCTCTAGGTATAACAGTTCAAGAGATATGGGACTGGAGTCATTATCATCTCCAAACCTCTCCAAAATATGCCAAATTATTCCAAATTGTTTTTTTTTGCTTATACACAACAATCTTATCACCAAAATCATATTGGAGCATTTTGATGGCCACAAAACACTTTTGAAGCAAATATAATTTTATTTTTTATAACTTTCCATCTAATTATCCAACAGTGTGCAATAATCCAGGATCGGATCTGCCTCTCTGCCTTTACGCCAGGCTATACATCTGGGCGCCACGATTCCAATTAGCCATGTTTAGCCATAATTTATAGGTAATTTTATTAGCTAGAGAGCCAAACATTGCGTGTGGCCATAACCAATAGCAGGTAAACTTTATGAGGAATAATATGAAGGAAAGTATGCATAAAGATGGCAGTTGAGAGGGAGCTCTTTGGCTGTCCTGGTGTCAATTCTCAAAACAGGGTGGGCAAACATAGCCAATATACCCAGATATATCTATGCTTACCTATCGCAATTCACAAGACTTTTCCTTAAGACTGGTAAAAATTTATTTTATGTGGCAATTTCTCATCATGGAATGTTTTTATTACAAATATGCTAGATTACTGTTAATCTGTGGACCTTTCCGGAGGAGGGAATATTTGAAGATTGGATTTATAATACGGTTTCTTTGCTGCTATGTCTATGTTAATTTGCTTTGGTGCTCGCTATGGGATTATGGTTGACTGCAGTGCAGCAGAACCAAGCTGTCAGCTTCGGAGCTGTCATGATGGGTCTCAAGTGTTTAAACCCACATGCAGAACACCACAGGAAACGGGGTAAAAGTTTAACAGTTCATTGAATGAGAAGCACACAGAATAATAATGAGCAGGTTCTGGTACTGGTCCGGGACTAGAATCACTGAGAATCTGCAGAGATGGATTGTTTGGTTAGCCAGGCAGCGGTGATGATTTATTAGGTGTTTGGTTCAGATTTGTACCTTGATGAGGTTCAGACAGATCGCTGGAGAGGGGGAACCAATTGGGTCCAGAGAGAGAGGGTTCAGCAGAGAGCTCAGCAGCAGCAGCGTCTAGCATCTGGCTAGTGAGGTTCAGACCTTGAGATGATGTCCTAGCTCTCCCTTGAGAGCTGGCTGGGGAATCCAGACTGATTGTCTTCAGGTTTGGCTTCCTAGGGCAGGCAGGCAGGTTTCCAAGCAAAGCTCCTCCAGAGCTACAGACTTCAGTCGGGCTTTCCTGTGAGCAGAGAAGACAGAGGCTGGTTAGAATCTAGTTACTCTCTAGAGCAGACAGAGATGATCAAAGTGAACAGAGGCTCAGGTTCCGCTAACTAAAACTTGGTCAACACTCCGGCGCCGAAGACAGGTCTGGCTGCTGCTTATGTAGGAGGTCTCCTGATGGACTGATGATCCTCAGGTGTGCTGGAGGCTCCAACCCAGGAGACCCACAGCGCTCTCTGCTGGAGACAGGTGGCAGATCTCCAGATCCCAACAGGAGCTGGTCTGGGAACTCTGGTGGATGGAGGGAGGGAGCCAGCGGGCGACGGAGCGATCAAACACGACTCGATGACGGTAGCGGCTCCGTGCGTCACTACGTCCCCAGTTAGCTCCAGACCCAGACCAACATACCAGTCCCGGGGTGATGGGCATACCCTGGTGATAGCAAGGTTATGCCTGATGTCACAGAGTCTCCTAAAACACTGGCATATATTAATTAAAGCTTCTCCACTCAGGTGCATCGCTGCTTCTGAGGGGAGCACCTGGTCTGCACAAAAAAAATAGATTTGATTGTGGTATTAACCTGGCTCTTGTTTACTGCCCACCCCCCAAAAATGAATAATCATCTATCCATTTTCTGTCCTGCCCATGGCCGGATCCACTTCGGGGTGGCTGGCTGCCGGCGGAGCTCGCCGACTGATCCCCAAGAATCCTGGTGGCTCTGGCATTGCAGCGGCTGGGGGTTTTCCTTGGGGCCGTCTCTCCTCCTCCCTTGGTGGGGGGCAAATTTCCTGGGTTGGCCCCTCCTGGGTGCCTTTGCTCTTGAGATCCCTTTGGGCGTCTGGGGCTTTGGGTCCCCCTGCACTTGCCTCAGTGCTCTGGAGGGGCACGTCTTCGGCGCTTCACAACCACTATTGAGCATTTTTCCTTTGGATAAACTTTACATGCACAAGTGCACTCTCACAAAAAAAACTACAGGTGCTTGGCTCCAGGTACTTAGAGATTTACTTCCATACAGAGAGCCCATATTCTTATCTTCAGCTACCAGAGTATACATGTCAGATTAAATAATACTACTTATACTTCAGCGATAGTATCGAGGTGTTACTTTACTGTATCTCTTATATTATATCCGTTGGTTGTACTCTTCTTTTTACATTTCTTTGCAGGTGATGAAGCAGACTGAAGATGTTTTATCGTTATCTCCCTTTTATATCCCCTTTTATCTCCTTTGTCTTTCATCTTTTTTCCTTTTTTTCAGTTTTTTCTTTCCTGTTGTACTTATATTGCATTGTCCATAAAATCGGTAATACTCCCTGCATGAATCATACTAAAGCTATTTACAGTATATGCATAAATCAAGCAGAACACTATGGCGATTACTGTAATGCTCCATTTGTGAAAGCAAAATCTGTTGGGCTCTCTTTTTGGCAACAAGACAGATATATTTTTATGCCAAATTGCCAGACAGGACACTGTAAAATACAAAAAAAAAAAACCCATACTTTTTTAAAAGTTGTCATTACATTGTCACGAGTACAGAGCAAGGGAATTAAGTCTCTGCATTTAACCCATCCCCTTAGGGAGCACTGGGCTGCCATTGTGCATCGCCCTGGGACCAGTATGGGATTAAGTTTCTTTGCTCAGAGATCCATAATGAGAGTCTGTGGGAGTGGGGCTCCAACTCCGAACCTCACGATTCTAAGCTCTATGCCCAACCACTAGGCCGCCACTCAACAAAAAGAACAATTTGCTTTGTCAAGCGTACATAAGTTTTGACTGTTCTCCTGTCCTGTTATTGTAATTCTTTTAGCCTAAGGTGAAACATTAAAAGAGGATTTCTCAGAAGTAATTAAAGCCACGCTTTCACCAGTCAGACCTGTTATGCATGTTGTCTGAGGGAGGGACACTACATAATAAGGATAATACACGGGACTGACCTAGACACAAAATTATTTACAATCTAAAAAGATAAGATGCTATAAAGCAAAAACAGATAAGAAACCAAAAATACATGTATTTGAATATTTTTTTTTTATCTTGAAAGTGTATTTTTCAATCTGGATAGTGTTTCTTTTCTGAGATGTTTTTTTTTTTTCCATAATTCTGTTAGTTATGTCTGTGCTTTCATTTTCCTACCTGAATATTCTGTTCTATTCTACTCTATTCTGTCTGGGCTGCCCTGTAAAAGCTAAGGTGCTGTACACACATGCTCTGTCGGTAAAACAACCAAAACAAATAGACTTACATTCATGTGACTATCTTATACCAGTTTCTCT